CTTTCTTACGCACGTACGCGACCACCAGCTGCAGAATCTATTTAAACGTTAGATCGAAATCGCGAGTGGAATCTTTGCGTGAGCTGTTATTATTATTTCTCGTTCTGGTTTGTCGACGTTCCGGGCCAGAGCTCGGTTTTGTCAAGCAATCTATCCACCGTTGTGCCAAATCCCTCTGAAAATTCGTGAAAAAAAATCCAATTATCCCCTGTCTTTGTCTACGATCCGTCCGAAATTTTACCCCAATCGTATTTTTTCCTCTTCGATTTTCATCAGATACGCATGTTGAAAATGTTCAGAATGTTTCCCGATCATCTTCTCTGCCAATATCGTGCATTCTTCTGAACTCCTTTTTGTTGAAAGGAATATCGTTGAAATATGTATAGTTGAATTAATATCCCTTGTTCTATATAGCAATCTGTTTGTATGTGTGTAACTTGTCTTGTATATATGTTGCAGCTTCTTTTTTCAGGAGTGCTACCGTGCACTGTTACAGGCTTTTAGGAAATAAACGATATAAATGAAAATTCGCATCGCGAAACGGTAACAAAGGACAAGGAGTAACACGTAGATAGATGGCAAATGATCCAAGATTCACGGTTTTCGATTAAACGACGTTCAACTGTGTGAGGCCTCCTTAAGAAAACAGTGACGTCGATAACATTCCAAAATCTACGAGAGGAGATTAACATTTTGAATATTGTAAAAGGCAGGAAATTTCACGGAATGTGTAATACAAAGCACCTGAAGAAAGGAATGTAACAGCGCTCTTTATAATACTTGATACATGCGTAAAACAATTTTCAATGTTTCTGATTCTGTACTCCGGAAGATGTGGTTCGTGATGAAACATCTGCAGAGCAAGTAAGGCAAGCACCATGGATTTCCTCAAAAAAAAAAAAAAAAAAAAAAAAAAAAATCATCACAAAGGGAACTGTGTGCAGAATCGAAGAACACTTTGTGCCACTTTGTACTTAGCTCGTAGAAATCCTGATGGCCAAGGAAGAGCCGAAACGTTCCCTGATATTTCAAAAGTTTTCTCTGGCCGCCACCCAAGGCTAAAACACTCGAAATAACACAGTAGCAATTCGTGTGGGCGTGCTGCGGGACGGTCAGCTTGGTCACACTGGTGTCCGATGGCAGGTGGAACAGCTCCCGAGGAGATCTCACTCTTCGTCTCTTCGATTCAACGACTGTGTAATTTAAAGGTCGCTAGGAAACGAGGTCTCTATGCAACTGGGTTAACCAAATCCGTCATTTCCTACAGGCAGAATTTGACGTGTGACGAGCACTCTTAGACTGTTGTCCGTCTTTGGACATTCTCTTAGCAATATTTAATTATCTATTGGTTGCTTTTGTTGAGACAAGTGACAAACCTGTCTCGACATTTGTCGATAACTCTTCTCTCAGTTCATGCCTTTGTGAATGAAGTGATGGGGGGGGGGGAAATGGATGAAAGAAGACTAATCTTGAGCATTCAACTAGGTTTACTAATAAGATTGTAGCTCATTCGTATGAATTCCTTAATTGGTAAATGAGTTAAATCCTTCTTTTATTTATGGAGATTAGACTGTCCTCTTTTAATCGTGAAAATTGGATTACAACTGTTTAGCTTCATTGTAAGGAAGTAAAGTGAAAGAATAGTAGTTATACTTTCAATAGTAATGGTAAACGAATAATCAATAAGTGCCATTATTTACTTACTATGTATAAAAGTTCACTCTTATTTTTCATTAACATAAAAAATAAAGTATAAAGCAAGTTTAAATAGATAGACGAGACATTCTTAGTATTTACTCCATTTTATTTTACAATTCATGTCTCCTAATTTTCTACCTTACGCGTCTGCTAAGAGTTTAGCCTCTTAACAAGATCAATAGTGAAATATGGATATTCTACATTATTCTCCAAGCGTAGAATAATCAGTCGTTGGATTTGTTAATTCTAAAGATTTCCCACAGTCACCAAACCATGCGAGCTTAACGAACCTATCAATCGATCATCGATCGCCGAGAATCCAGCGAGTCCTTGAGATCATTCGTCAAGATCGGAGAAGGGAATTTCGACGATTGATAGATGAGAGGATCTACTCTGCAACTCGTGCACAAGTTGGAGAAAACGGTGTGTATCACGTGCCTGCCCAAAAATACGTCGAGAGGTGACTCGATTCTCGATCGCCTTCATCTATCGGTCTGGCCAGGAGACCGATGGGAGGCGAGATTCGGTCGGAGACCAGAACGTTGAACGTACTCTGCCAGCAAAAAGAAGAGACGATTGAAAATATCCACACGTGTCGGCGTTCTGGTCTCACGGATTTCGAAATCGCTCGCGCAAGCTAAGAATTGTGATGTTTCACGAGAGGTGTGTGGGCCAGGCTGCGCTTTTGCTTTGGCACGGACCGAGCACCTGTCGCGCCTCGCCGACAGTGGAAATGTTTTCAACGAAGGGGAACCTGTCGCGCCTGCGCCGAGATTAATTGCCTGCATCGATTACCCATTGAAATCATTATACCGCGAGCTTGACGCAACAAGGATTTCAGTAACGAAGGAATCATCAAGAGTTGCATTTAAAAAAAGTTGAATGTTATTATGTAAGTCGTTCACGGAGTCGAAGAGATCAGCCTTCTCTTAACTTCAGTGTCAACTTCTGATGCTTAATTTTTAATTGTCAGAGTTTATTTGATTATTTATAGAACACAGGAATTGGCGATCGTGTAATTGATGGGGAATTGATGATCAAACACTAAACGCAGGCCCAGTGTTT